GCTCCCGCCAGCTGTCCCGGGCTGGGAGAGGCAGGTGGCCAGGCAGGGAGGTGGCAGGGGTGCGTGTGTCTTGGCAGGCACCTCTGCCGGCGGGGCGGTTGCAGGAAGGACTTTCTCAACCACCAGCCAAGAATAAGGATATCGTTTTAGAGCGCGGTGTACAGGGTTTTATTCAAGACGGTCCTTATGTGCTTAATGAAGCGACTCACATAGCTAAAGGGCTTGCAATTTAGATGGCGAAGTTTTTAATTTTTACTTTTTAAGGGAAATCTGCTTGCACCAGGCTGTTTTTAGAAGCTGGTAACTCAGCTTAGCCTTTATGTTCTTTGGAGTTGAAGACAATATTTAATGAAGAGCCAGGGTGAAATGACCGACCCTGATGGTTACATCAAGCAAGGTACGAGCTGAGCCTACCATTACCCTAGTCAAGACAGAACCCTGACATTATTTAGGAGTGTTTGGAAGATCCAGTCTCTGCTCGGACTCCAGTAGCCACACCAAAGTCCCAGGGCTTTAGTAACATCGGTGGTGCCCGCCTGAAGTGGTGATATGGGTAGGTCTCATGCTAGGGCTTCATGGGTCACTGGCTTGTTTAAACTCTAAAGGAGCCCCAAAAGTAAAGTGAAACAGGGAAGAAAAAAAAAAAGTCCAAGCCCAGAAAACCAAGTGTAGTAAAATTATTAGCAGGAACTACGAATCTGTTTAAGGAGATTTTAATCTCTTTTCTTACAGTCATTTTGGCAGAATGCAGGTAATCACTTCACGTATGGATGCAATGGTTTCAGAAGTCATTTAAGAAAAATTGTTTGGTCTTGCACTGAAGCAGATGAGGACTGCTGTAAGGTGCTCTCCCCATAGGTTTGCTGTGGGAACAGTAAGAAAAGCCTGGTAAATAATAATAGAATCATAGAATCATAGAATGTTTTGGGTTGGAAGGGACCCCTAGAGGTCATCTAGCCCAACCCCCCTGCAGCGAGCAGGGACACCGCTAACTAGATCAGGTTGCTCAGAGCCCCGTCCAACCTGGCCTTGAATGTTTCCAGGGATGAGGCCTCCACTACCTCTCTGGGCAACCTGTTCCAGTGTTTCACCACCCTCACTGTAAAGAATTTCTTCTTTATATCCAGTCTAAACCTACCCTCCTTTAGTTTAAAACACCTTAAACTACACTGAAATGATCATCTCTGACTGTTACATGACTAATCTCACCTTCATTACTTTTAATACTAAGCTTTACAAACAACAGCAATCAGAGCAATAGCTGTATGAGCTTTTAAAAGCAGTGTTTTTCATTCAAAATTAATAATGACACATCACCTGGGAGCTGGAAGGCTTCAGCTAAGAATAAATAATAAGCAAAGTCAGCAACAGGTACTTTGCAGGAACGTGACCCAACAAAAAGCAGTCTAAAAGTGAGGTACTCGGAGCCATCTGTGCCCTCAAACTGCAGATGAAGGATGCTCACCAGCAGTCTGCACGACAGTTTTTCCCGTGCTCTTAATTCTTTGTTTGGTTTAAATAAAGGAAGGACATAAATAGATGCCAATGTATCTGCTAGCATCTCGAATTCTGTAAGGATGCGGTTGCACAGACGCAACCTTTGCAAAAGGGAGGCAGAGCTAAGGTTTTTGTCTCTCTGGGACAGAGCAACCTGGTTCACCCTTGCTAGAGTCACATCACATTCTGTAAAGTGCATCAGAAATTCAGAGAAAGCAAAAAACGAGCCCAGAGAAGTTAGTGAAGAGCTCAGCAGTTCATAGAAAAACTGCCTGCATGTCTTCAGACTTTCAAGGTTGGCTGTGTGTGCAAGAGCAGGACCGAAATCTGTCTCTGATTTTGATTTGGCACGAGTGAGATAAATCCACTCGAGTGGGTGAAATGCCATTTATCCATACAAAACTAAACCAACCGCACATGCGCTTTCAAGCAAATACTTAATCCTTAGGGGATTTTTTCGTGCAGGATGGGGCAACTTGGGATTCCAATAAAGAGAAGGGAAATTGTGCCTGTTTGATGGAGGCCCTGTACGGCTGCCATCGGATTGCACAAGAGGGGAGCCGAGAGAAGCCTCTGCCTAAAGGGGGACACAAAGACAAACATTTTATTAATAATCCAAGCACTCGTGATGCAACACAGGAGAGATAAACCCAAGATGGAATCTTGCTGATGCCTGTGGATTGGGAGCCCCCTCCCCAGTTTCACCCCAGAAGAATATCTCTGCAGTTCCTGCAGTAGCTTAGTATCTAAAATATTTATCAGAATGATTTTTTTCAGACTGCTTTTTTTTTTTTTTTTTTTTTTCTGGAAGCTGGTGATTTAATTAGCAAAAATCAGCATTCTTAGGAACTGTGACACATTTACTTAGCGATTGCTACCAAATGTGGCTTTCCTGCAAATCTGGCAGGACGGACCTGTTGTCCCTCTGTCCTCTGCACCCAAGGACAGCTCAACGTACCACGCAGACCGGACTGAGCTCCTGCTCCAAGCCTCCTCCTGGTCAGTGAAGAGATTCCTTTTGACCTTCCTGGAAACTGGATTAGGCCTTTAAAAGCCATACATTCTCAAACATTCCATGGAGGCTATGTTTGCTCTAAACCCACAGTGAAGTGAATGCAATACTATATTAATATTTAACATTGGCCTATAAAAACCAGGAACTCAGAGTCAGGACAGCTGGTACAAGTTTAATTCACATCATCGTTTCAAAATGAAAATGCAGAAGAGGACAGAACATCACATCTTCACGTTTGGAATCTATTTTCTTCAATACCCAATTTTGTTATTTCTGTACCTACACCTGCTACACAGCCATGAAAAATATTTTGAGTTTATACAATTCTTTGATTTGCTTTTCCTAGCCAGTAGTACCGGTTATACTTGAAGAAATCAAAACGGAAAAAAAAAAGGGTCAGAGGGAAAAAAAGAAGAGAATAGATTAGTTAAAAGAAAAACAAACACAAATATTGTGCTTGTGGACCGTATTTAGGGGTTGGCCAGAAGTCTAAGGTCTGATAGATGGTTCTCGGCGCTCGGTTTTATTGCTGGTACACAGCACACTTTGTTCCTTTTGTTTCGCTCAACCTGCCAACTTTGGAAATTAGTGACACGGGCATTCAAAATCTTTGACAAGTGGTCAGGCTCCAGTATACATATTCATACCCCAGCGGTAAATGACAGCAGGAAGTTTCAGACGAAGTAAAAATGAGTTCTCTGGTTCAGCCCAGCTTTCGTGTAACGCTGGTTTCGTAAGCGCTTTTACTTTTAAAGCGGGAGCGCCTCTTCGATAGCACACCGGGGAGACATCATTTAAAGAAATGTTGCTTTGCTTTAAACCAGAAGTCCAAATCTGCTCAGTTCATTTAATTTTTTTTTCTCTAGAATAAATGAATAAGCAGTTCCTTTTGTGGTTTTCCTGGTGCTTGCTATTACTCTTCCAGCAAAAAAATAGGATCAGATGCTCATAGGAACAGATGTGTCCCTCCTCCTCCTCAGCCCCACACTCGCCCTCTCCCTTCGGGAAATAAAGGAGACGGGCCTGCTGTTTGACTAAAAGAGGCTATAAATCTTCTGGGGGGGATATACCGCTACGTCTCTGCACAGAAAAAGCACCGGGGAAAGGAAGCAGGTTAAAAAGCGAAGGGCCTTGGTGATAAATCATACGCTGTGCTTGGGTTTTTAACTCTTAGAAGCCCAGGGCCGCTTTAGGTCGCTGCCAGCGCGAGAAATCCTTCTGCTCGGGG